GAAGCTCAGAGAGTTAAAATAACTTACCTAGGGCTAGTCAGTGGGTCAGCTGGAGAGAGGCGGGCTGCCAAGGCCTTCATGTCTTCATCAGCTCCTCTTTCTCCTGCTTGAATCTTCGGTTCTTCACTTTCATCTTTGGTCTCAGCCCTGAGTGGCTGCCTCAGGCTCTCTGCCGTGCTCCTGCCCCTTGGCCTAGGCCTCCTGAGCTGGATGTGGCCTGCTGAGGCCCTGGGAGAAGCTCTGCCTTCACTGCCATCCCACTATTCTGGACATGTGTGTTGCATGCGTGCGTGTGCACACAGGTGACCATATACATATGGGGTGTGCACACTGACAGGCAGGTTCACACTTAATGCATGTGCCACACACGCACATACTTACCCATGTGTACACTCACAGTCATCCACGTGTGGCTGTGTGCATGCAGGTGTCTACACAGATGCACACCCATGCTCTCCCCCACATGGATGGCCAGGTCCTGGATGTTTGTTACAGCAACAGGCCTCCTCCCCCTCCCCTGACCAGCCTCCCTTGCACCATCGTTGGTCTGGGAGGACAGTGACTCAGTTCATTGTGGCCAGTCTTAGAACCATTGAGGTGACCATCTTTAAAGAAATGCAGGGAAAGTGGGGGGTGGTGGCTTAGGGGGAACCTCAATTAGGTGATACCTGAAGGGTGTTGTTGGGGCTCAGAAAACAGTACCCCAAAATAAAGGCCTCAGAAGCAAAAGTTTTCCTCCGTTCTTCCCCTGTTCTCCTGTCTCAGGGTCCCGTTCTCCCCCAAGGCTAGCCTAGTTTAGTCTCAAAAACTTGAACCCCTCTTTTCCAAGGTGGGTTTTAGAAACCAGAACCCCTTTTTTTGAAAGCCGGCTCTAAAATCTAACAATATTCTATGTAAAAACTGGTCACAAAGAAATAATCTGAATACCTTGACTGTAGGTCATAGGTCCCCCTATATGAGAGGGTCCTGCCCTACACTCGGAAGGAAGGAATGCGAGGTGTGCCGAGAGGCCAGGAGGAATCCACACAGACAGGCCTTGGGGGGGTCTCCCACTCAGTCTGTTAACATTAGATCATGCCCTTTCTGTCTGATCATGTTTCTACTTGCCGTCCATGCTTTATTGAACCTAGGCATAAAAATGGACAATTGCCCCTGTGTTTGTGCTTTCACTTTGGAGGCCCCGTGTAAGTTTGTAAGTAAGTTTGTTGGCCCATGCTTCTGTCATCAATCTGCCTCACGTGATGTTTCAGCAAACGGCAACTCTGGCCTTGGCAGGGTGAGGAGTCTTCTTGTAGGTCTTCTCTAGGTCTCTGGATAAACACTCCCTCCACACACATACACACACACACATATACACAAAACTCCACATGAAGTCTGGGGAGTGCCGTGAGGACGAGTGCAACTGGGCCCTCTGAGCTGCCAGTTAGCAAACAAGGTCCAGAAGCCGCCTGCACCTGTGCCCACCGTCTCTTACGGCCTCTTCTTTGTTGGTCCCCTCTTCATCCTCTCCCAAAGCTGTTCCAGTGGCATCTCTCGGCTGGTGCACTCATTTACTCCTTTTATTCCCGAGACATTCTGTGCCCTCACCCAGCACTGTCCTAGTCAGCCCATCTTCCAGTGTAGGTCATACCCCATTCCTGTTCTTGCTTCTCCTAAATCCTCTTTGAAGCCCCTCAAGAAAAAGCCATATCCCCACCATCCAGGGGCCATTCTGTTCTTCTGTTTTGTTCTCAGTTGTAAGTTAACATTGAACTTCAAACTTAACTCTCCCAGACAGGAACTCTTTGTACTGTAAGACCAGAGGGGGATCCATCCAATTCCCTCTCCCCTCGATGACAGGGTTATTTTTAATCAGGTTAAGGACCCCTGATGTGAGGTTGAGCCTCTGCTGCCCCTTTCCTGTTGTCAGGTGTGGACCAGGCTGCTGTTAGTGCCTTCCTTTCCACAGGGCGAATTCGCACACTTTAACAGAGCCAAGAGTTTGGGTCTTGGCTAGGGCTAAACACCGTGCTTTTCTCATGGACCACAGAGGGTTTTCTGATGCAGCCAGTTTTCTGGATAATAGAGACCTGCCAGCATTTTTTTTTAAAGGTACACCATAGAGCTGGATGTGGTGGCAAGTGCCTGGTAGTCCCACCTAGCTTGGAGGCTGAGGCATGAGAGTCTGCGGTGTGCTAGCATTGTGCCCCTGCATTCCCGCCTGGGCCACAGAGTGAGACCCTGTCTCTCTGTTAGAGAAAAATAAATAAAGCTACACTGTAATAGTCAGTCTCTAAAACCATATGAATAAATGTGCCCTTTTCTTATTCAACAAGGTAGCTTCTCAATTTTGCGTTCTCTTGGGGTCATTTGTGGCTATTTCGGTCATTGTTGACTAGCTGAGTAGAGAGCCTGAGTGGCCCTCTCTGCGGAATGGACTCAGGTAATTAACTTCAGGTGGCCAACTAAGCCCTACAGAGAACCTCCTGAGTAAGGCACTGGGTTGTCATCACAGCATCGGCAGTACTGATCACATAGGAAGGGGAAGGCAAAGACATTTTCTGTGGCTTTAATAATAACTTCTGGAGATATGGCCACAATTACAACAGTTTGAAAAGCAATTCTTTGAATGGTTAATTTATAGAGATTTTAAATGAGAGCCTAGGGATTAGGATAAGATTCCCAGCAAGTGCATCACAGACAGATTCAAAAAATGCTCTATCTCCAACATCCGGGCACCTGAAAGATCGTGTTACAGTGGAACACTGCACAGTGATTCAAAAGGTCCTATGGGCTCTGCCTGGGATCTGTTTGAATTAAATTGTTTCATGAAATGTTTGGGTATGGAAATAACACTTCTAAAACTAATTATGTAGATGACCTTATATGTGATGGTATAGCTTCATAGATAAATACTATAAAGATTCACTTAATAATTCCATTACATTCTTAATAATTACATATTTGTGTTTTCCAGAAATCTTTTTCTGAGGGGTAAGGTCTTACTGGGAAAATGGGGGGTGCCACCTTTGGATCACCCTGTATTTGGGCACCAGTGATACCTTTAAAAGGAAGATGTAGTTTTAAAATATTTTGTGTATTGTTTCATTTGGATAGAAGTGAAAGTATAAAGTTCTTTTACTCATTTGAGGGTGCATTGGATTGGGAAATGCCTGATTATAGTCCCAATTTTAACACAGGTCTTCCCCCTCAGTGAAGTGTCCTGTCCTGAGGCTGCCATGACTCTGTTGGACCCTTTTTAGAGCTCATGTCCAGAGCTGTCATGACTCATGTCCAGAGACTCATGTCCAGAGCTGTCATGACTCTGTTGGACCCTTTTTAGAGCTCACCCTTTCTCTGTATTTGATGCCATGTCCTTCCCATCTTGAAATCCTGCCCTTGGTGTTCCTGTGACAATAGCCTCATGGTCCCTCCTGACTCCCCAGTCTGCTGTGAATGTCACTGTTCCCCACCAGCCTATTCATCTCCCCCCAATTCTACACCCTCTCCCTGGACAATGCCATGTCCTTCCAAAGCTTCCGTTTCCACCTGTGCTGAGGCTCAACACTGATAATCTCGCCTGCAAGGTTGGCCCACGTGATGCTGTTCTAACTATGACTTTTAAATACGAAATCATTGCCAACATGTAAAAATTGAGATCAAATCCAGATTTCTGGCTCCTCTTGGCAAATGAGCTGAGCTGGCCGTACCAGGACCGAGCCTGGTTAAAATGGGCAACCGTGGTCTTGTTTGCCATAGACAGTCCCAGCGGCTGCCCCTTTTTGTTTCTGACCTTGAGTAGACCTTGAGTTGAGTAGTCTGTCAGTTGTCATTTTTGTTTTATCATGGTTACGCTATTCAGTCTCTTACAATAGAGATAAGAGGGAAAAGAATTGCCCATCTCTTTATTAGAAAATAAAAGCTGAACCAGTAATGGTATGTTTCAAAACAATGGAAGAGAATATTTTTTTCTAATGGGAGAGAAGAATATTCTTATGTAATTAATATTCAAGGTGTGCCTGAGTTGGCAGGCTACACTTTAAGAGGGCAGAGCTCATAATTGTTGACCTTGGTGGTTTTGATGAGCAAATGTATCCTTTTCTTCATATAAATACCTTTTTTCCCTGAAATTCAGAACGATCCCTTTGGTAATCTAGACTCATTGGTATTTATCAAGTACCTGGAACGTGCAAGGGACTGAGGTACAGTGGTAAGCGAGGCAGACGTGCTCTCTGCCCTCAAGGAGCTTGCAGTGGCTGGAACAGATAGAACAGGCATTTCACACTGGACAGGACTGAGTGCATTTCTCCCTCACCTCCTCCTGTCACTTGGCTGTCAATGAGTGACATCACCCCTGACCTGATTAGCATTTGTTCCATCTGGAACTTAATTCCTTTTCGTTCCATAAAGTTAACAGTTCTCAGGTGTAACAGTAGGAATTAGGATACTGACATCTTTGGAGTCTTTTACTCTGTCCATGATATTATCTGCTTGCTAAATAGATTAGCGATTTGTCATCATGATACTTGGGCTCCAAACATACAGTCCCTGGGACTGGTCAATTAAGTCAGCTGTCTACTGCTTTTTTTTTTTTTTTAATTGCATTCCAGATGTATTCCTTACTCTGGCTAGTGTGCTACAGTGATGCAAACCCATGGCTGCCCTGTATTTCTTGGGCTGCCCGGGAAGCACCTGTCTTGAATGGTATATTCCATACTCTACTAACCTCATTGTGTTCGACTTCTGGCTTCCGGTTTAGGTCTTTCTTTTCTCAGAAACTTTTTATGATCCTTCTGCCCTCTTTGTTCTCTGTCTTCTTTGAAATCCTTCTGCTTTTATTGTCTGCAGTGATTAATTATTTCATGTCTTATCTATGTTTACTTATTGATGAGTGAGTCTTGGCAGAAAGCTTTATGGATTGGTTGAAAGTGGCTCTAAAATAACTCATTTCCCTTAAGCAAAATGTTATTCTGCCATTTCAAATGCTTATCTGAAATGCTGTGTGGTTTTGTTTATTTCAGGGACTTGAAGATAGAAAATTTGCTACTAGATGAAGACAATAATATCAAGCTGATTGGTATGAAAAATTTTTTTTAAACAAGATTATCTTTTAAGTGTTGTGTTGTCCATTCTCAACTCTGAAAATTATCCATGGTCTATATCTAATCCCCAGATAATATTCTAGATCACCTTCTTTTACCTCCGATAAAGATTTTCATTTTAACAATGATTTTGAAAGTGAAAATTGATTTTAATAATAATTTAAACATAATAAGGAAAGTAAAATACTGCAATGTAACCATGAATTGAAATTCACAGCCCCAAATAAATGTTTGTTGGTCACTTGTTTCTTCGGATTATTCAAACTACAGCTTCTCCAAAAATTCAGATGGAGCTGAATTTTTATAGAGGTTTTTTTATTTGTATTAATCAGAAAATGTCTTAAAAATAGTGGAAAATAAATTGGCTGCAAACAGAAATGTTGCCCATTGCTTTGCCATGTCTTATTCTACTTTTCTTTCTTTCTTTCTTTCTTTCCTTTCTTTCTTTCTTTCTTTCTTTCTTTCTTTCTTTCTTTCTTTCTTTCTTTTCTTTTCTTTTCTTTTCTTTTCTTTTCTTTCTTTTCTTTCTTTTCTTTCTTTTCTTATTGTCACCCTTGGTAGAATGCTGTGGCCTCACAGCTCACAGCAACCTCAGGCTCTTGGGCTCAAGTGATTCCCTTGCCTCAGCATCCCAAGTAGCCGGGATGATGGGTGCCTGCTGTGATGCTTTTTTTTTGAGACAGGGTTTTTCTGTTGCTCAGGCTGGTCTGGAACTCCTGAACTCAAGCTGTCCACCTGCCTTGGCCTCCCAGAGTGTTGGGATTACAGGTGTGAGCCACCACTGCCACCACCTTCTTCTTTTTTTTTTAAGATAGAGTCTCACTTCATTGCCCTGGATAGAGTACTGTGGCTTCATAGCTTACAGCAGTCTCTTGGGCTCAAGTTATCCTTTTGCTCAGCTTCCCAAGGAGCTGATACTACAGTCTCCTGCCACCATGCCTGGCTAGCTTTTCTATTTTTAGTACAGATGGGGGTCTCGCTCTTACTCGGGGTGGTGTTGAACTTCTGAGATCAAGAGAGCTTTCTGCCTTGGCCTCCCAGAGTGCTAGGATTACAGGTGTGAGGCACCATGCCCAGCCTTCACTCCATTTTTCAGTGAATGTGGGGATGCTCAACATAGGGACAGTGCTAGGCCAATGGGGGCCAAGCTGAGAGGGCCTCACAAAGGGATGATTAGGAGTCTGTACCAATAGGAAGGAAGCTCTGTGAGGGAGGATGTCATAACTGGTTCATAATCAAGGTCCACATGCTCATTCTCTAGAAGAATCCGTTGTTGTTGTTGTTGTTGTTGTTTGCCTGTATGGTTGCTCTTGGCAGAATCTCAGGACATCATATTAGACAGCACTGTCTTTTATTCCTCTTTTCTTTCTTTTCCCACCTCAATTATAATTTCCTCTACCTTACTAGCTTCAAAAGACATTATGTTAGGGGACAAGATAAGGATCCAAAGAATTTTGGGACTTTAACTTTTGTATCTAAGAAAGAACTTTTGTTTGGTAAATACTGAAATCGTCTCAAGACTCTCCAAAATATATCCTTCAAGTGACTTCTAGTTAGCTCCCACGGCAGTAACAGCGGACCCCTGAGCTGGGTGATTAAACACCCTCCATAGGGGTTGATGGTTTCATCAATAAGAAACCAGTTTTCCCCCCAAAGCATTTAAGATAATCTATTTGTAGAAGATTCTTGGATAATCCAAAGAACTTTGTTTTTGTAAAATTGTTTTACTGTTGTATCTCAGTTGTCCTGAGGGCCAAATACAGAAGCCAGAAAAAAAGGCAAATGTTTCTAGGATGTCTTTCTGGCCTCACTTCTGGGATCTGGTGTGTTAAACAAAGAAGCCTCCTGGTGGGGGCTGAGGAATAGAGAAAAGGATACACTTTTTTATGTTCCCTGGCGAGCGGACCTGTACCTTGTCTTTGGAAGATGTGGAGGTGACAGTGACAGAGCTGTCCTAATAGCAACAGAGATTATAGAAGACAGGCTCTGTGAAGGCCCGATTTCCATGGCATCCTGTAGATGGTGAGTCACGCCAAGTGCAGGCCACCTCCCAGGCAGGCATTGCCCGTCTGTTTCTTTCCTTCCTTTGCCCCCACCCCCTTCCTCCTCTAGTGTAGCCTTGGGTGACCATTTATAGAGCTGCCCTGGGGCACAAGCAATGCTGAAAAGCATAGACCTTTTTCTTGGTTAGACGTTTGCTCGGTAGATTCTGGAAGAACCAATCACTGTAAACAGCAGGTATGTTTATAAGTAGCTCACAGATTGGCTAAATAATAAAACTTCTTAGAGGAGACCTACACAAGTCACTGAGGAAATTACATTCCTAAATTAGAGCCCATAGCTCCCTTCTTAGCCAGTGTGGTGACTGCTCTTTGGATGCCAGGAACTATTTTATTCCAGCCTTTCAGAGTCACCTCTCAGCTGGCAGCCTCTGGATGGACATTTAAGCAGGCATTTCAGGGCACAAGGACAAAACTCGGCCCTGTCAAAAACCAGGGTTCCTGAAACTGCTAGACAGGTGGCTCTGATAATTGGATTTCCCTTTGTTAGAACTCTTTAGTTGGCACTCAGTGTTTTCACGACGAAACTAAACCTGCCCTAACTCACACCTGTCTCTGGAGGAGACATTGTACCTCCCCCAGGGCAAGTGGGAATTGCATTTTGTTTAGCAGAGTCTGCATTTCCTCCTTTATGAGGGAAGGCTGCAAAGAAGAACGGCCCAGTCTTGTGGAGTTTCTTGCCCCTGGGCTGGGCAATTTGGATCAAAGAAAGGTCTCTGCTGTCTGTTTGTAACTTGAAAGCCCTTTGCACCCTTTTTTCTTCAAAGGAATTACCTAGTTGTTTTTTCAAAGGTGATTATAGCTATTATCATTAACTCTTAATAGTTTCTCTTTCTTTGAAAGAATTTGGTTTAAGTAAATATAAGTAAGCCATATTTCAAATTAACTAGGATTACCAGGAGTAAGATTTGATTTAACCAAGTTGCCATATTTCAAATTAACTAGGATTACCAGGAGTAAGATTTGATTTAACCAAGTTGCCATATTTCAAATTGACTAGGATTACCAGGAGTAAGATTTGATTTAACCAAGTTTTTTTCCCCCCCTTCAGAAAAAGCAATCTGATGTTTGGTAAATTTAGTATAATCTTAAAATGGAAGAGTCACAACTTAGAACAGTTTTGCACTTGAATTTTCCAGAGCAGTGTTCACTTGGGTGCTTTTTTGAGATTTATTTCGTAGCTCTCAGAAAATGGAGCGATAATTGGCTGATGTCTTTAACAAATCTAATTGAGGCAGACCCAGGTGACATTGCTGGGAGGTGAGCTTCTCTCTAGTTTCACAATTCTAATTATGGACAGATGTGTAAAATTTTAATAATTAACAATTATGAATGTGAAACGAACTGGTTGTTTCTCTACAATATATTTTAACTGAAGCCCTTTTGGCTAGATCAACATAAGTCACTTAAAAGGCAGATTCTAGTTCCTCCACTCCCCAAATCCCTGCTAATTTATCTTCTCAAAACTGTGCTTAAGATAAAGCCAAACCCTTGTGTTCCCAAACTTGCCCGGGACATGGAAGGAGATCTGGTCTCTTATCTTGCCTCTCGGCCTTCTTCTAACAAGCCCTTCCTTCTAGAGACAGGTGGGGGGATGGGAGGGGGCCTTGGGGGGAGATGAGGAAGTGAATAGAATGAGGAACCCTGCTGAGATCAGAAACAGATTCTTTCTCTAATCTCAGAAACTTAAAGATTCACTTTCTGGGACTCCAGTGAGATTGGGGCCTCCAACCTCATTGTTCCATAAAGCTAAGCCTTTCTTAAAATGTTGCCCCAGATAATAAATATCTTTATTCCACATTGGCCTTTCCATTTTCCCACAGTAGGTGCTCTTTGTGCATTTGTCCACTAATTAAAATTCTTTTAGGTTCATTTGCAAACCTTAAACAATGAAACCATCCTCTAAAGCACAATATGATTCTTTCTTTGTATGAAAATATTCATCCCCTCTTCCTCCCACTTCAGTGACACTGCAGGGTGGGGTCTGAGCACAGGGTTCCTGGGGTTCTTTTTAACAGATTTTCTTCCTCTAATCTAGCAATTCAGAACCACCCCCCTCCCTGATTCCTGGAGGCATCTCTTGCTGGGATTGTGCTGTCTAGTGTGGCTGTGGGCTGATGGGACAGGAAGTGGGGGTGGAAAAAGGGTGGGTGCAAAGGAAAAGAGGGTAAGGGAGGTTAAGAGAGAAAAGTGGAATCAGAAAACAACCCGAGTAAAGCGTCTGAACATGCAACATTCCCCTTTTGGCTGGTTTGCCAGTTCTTGTTGTCGTCTGAGCTGGTAAGTTTGGATGATATTTAGAGCCGTGAAGAGTTTTTGGAGTTCTGCTTGGGTGAGGTTCTCTTTAGAAAGCTGTTTCAATGACACAGCAAAAGCCAATGATTGCTAGAAACCTTTTCAGTTGTGTCATCTTGATCCATGGTGTGTGAGTAACTTCGCAGACTCCCAGCCTTAGTGTGCACTGTGTTTCTCCTGTCCTGAGCCTTCCTATAGCAAGTTTAACAGTCATGTGCTTTACAGGTGGAGACCTGTTAAAGCGAAGGGGAAAAACAGTCAGGAAACTAGACATAAATACTGCTGATTGAGAAAGCACAGGAGTTCTCTTCAAGACTTGGAGTCGGTCTCTGCCTGAGCTCTGTAGCCTGAGAGACTTCTATTTTGGGGGGGTCAGGGGGGAGGCCATAATATTTACATTGAAGTTCAAAGGATGAACTGTGATCTTATTCTGAGATCAACAAAGATTGAGGAAGGATCTCAGATGAGGGCATAACACTAACAGCTCTCTAATGACCTGTCAGTTTCAGTATCTTTAAGATCAAAAATAAACACAGCACAAAAGGCATAATAGCCCCAAAGTAGCTTTTGATGCTCTGGGCTTTTCTTTCTTCTTTCTGGTTGCCTTACTCATCCAGGAACAAAGCTGTGCCTTGCAGTCACTCTGTCTATCCTGTTACCTTCCCAGCCAACACTTCAGGGTTTTCAGAGTTGTTAGATCACCATATTGTGCTGAATACCTTTAGGGAAAGTTTTTTAAAAACTTGCATGAAGTGAAAACATTCGACTGAAGAAGTCAACTGTAAATGGCAGGAGCATGTGTCACTGAGGGTGAGGCAGACAAGCAGCCTGGGAAATCAATCTTCATCTTTTCCCCACATGGCCAGTTGGAAATTCGCTAACTCTGTGCCCCTCTGCTTGTTCTCTCTTCCTGCCTTCGTCCTAGAAAGCAAAGCCTCCTTTTTTTTTTCCTGAATGACTCATTTACAAGGTTTGATGAAATAGTTTTTAGATCAAGGTACTGTTAGCTCCAGCCAGCTTTTGCAGTGAGGCCTGGTGTAAAATGTTCACAGCTAAGCCAGGGAACCACCACCTACATTCTGTTGTCTTGAGACTCAAATCCAGAGGTTATGGTTTGCAGCTGTTGCGTTTGCTCTTTGGATGCTAAATTATGTGTTAGTCAGAGAGAATGTTTCCTTTCCTGCTGCCTTTCCCCCCCCCCCTTTTTTCTTCTTTCCTTTTTGACTCTTTCTTTCATTTCTGCAGTTTTCTAATTCGGAGCTTGTGTTGTCTCCTCTCTTTGCAGACTTTGGTTTGAGCAACTGTGCAGGGATCCTGGGCTACTCCGACCCATTCAGCACACAGTGTGGCAGCCCTGCCTATGCCGCCCCCGAGCTGCTGGCCAGGAAGAAGTATGGCCCCAAAATCGACGTCTGGTCCATGTGAGTCATTCTCCTGCGTCCACACTGCTCCTCTCTTTTCCAGGGCACTGGCTAAGTGTGTATTATGTGGTAGGGTCTGGAGGATGTAATCAGGGACTCTTTGGGATCTGGCTTTCCAGCTCTGACCTTTCATAGTCTTTTCTGCACAAACTTTCAGAATTTGGCCTTTGCCAGAATTCACTAAGGTGCCGGGGAGAGAAGCCATCAAAGTCCTACCCTCACGGAGCTCACATTTTGGCTTTGGAGTCAGTTGTGCCCCTCCCTCCTGTCCAGTGTCCTCTGGCCATCAGTGGGAACCTGCATTCTGCAGCCATCCCAGGCTCCCTGTGGGCCTTGCTCTGCCCACTTCTCTTGCTTCATGTACATGACCCTGCCCGCTATAGGTGGTTCTTGAGACACATCATCCTCTGTTTCCTCTTGTCACCTCTGGGCTTTACTTTGCACTAGAGATTTCCTTTGCCTGGAATGCCATTCCTACTTTTTTTTTTGTTTTTTTTTGTTTTTTTTTTTTAAGCAGAGACAGGGTCTCACTCTTGCTTAGTCTGATCTCAAACTCCTGAGCTCAAGCGATCCTCCTGCATCAGCCTCTCCGAGTGCTGGGATTACAGGCGTGAGCCACCATGCCCAGTTGAATGTTGCAGTCTTAATCCAAGGGCACCACAGCTGACAGTATAGGAGCCATTCAGGAAAATCCTGGATCCCAGGATAGGACTAAATTCCTTGCCATGGGGAGATGGGCTTCAGATAGACAGAGAATGAGATCCTGGTTAAGATGCACGCTTGTAGTCGGGCATGTGGGCCCACACATGTAATCCCAGCGCTTAGGGAGGCCTAGGTGGGAGGATTACTCAAGGCCAGGAGTCCAAGACCAGGCTGGGCAACACAGTGAGACCCCATCTTTACAAAAAGTAAGAAAAGTTAGCCAAGTGTGTTGGTGCACACCCGTAGTACGCTGAGATGGGAGGATTGCCTGAGCCCAGAGTTCAAGGCTGCAGTGAGCCACAGTGATACCACTGCACTCCAGCCTGGGCAACCGAGTGAGACCAGAACTCTAAAGAAAGAAAGTAGACTCTGGAGATGAGAGGGGCTGGGAGAAGGGTGTGTTGACCTGGAGCATTCTGGAATCCCTCAGCTTCTCTCTATCTTCACTGTACTACCCTTGTTCCAGCTGGCAGAGAAGCTAATGTTTGCTGAATGTGTAGTGTCTGCCAAACACTGTGTCACTTCATTTTCACAGTGACCCATGAAATCATTGCTCCCTGTTATCCTGTTTTATGAAAGAAGAAACCCATCATCAGAGAAATCAATAAAATTGCCAAGGTTGTGGAGCTGTTAAGTGGTGGAACTGGGGCTTAAACCGGGCAATGTCCTTTCAGGGTCCCCAGTGCAGTACCGACCCCTGACCCTGTCCTGCAAGGTGCTTTTCTGCCCCATGGCCTCACTGGGCAGCTTCTTTCTCTGTCCGCATTTGCTCTGCAGTGAACCCGGCTTCGCCTCCTGTTTCCCCGCTACATTCCCACCCTTGCGCGCACAGTTCCTTCGGCCTGGAATTCCTTCTCCTGTCTCTGCACCCTGTCTCTTTCCTCCCTTCTTGTCTCTCTGGGTGCTGGTGCCATGGGCAGCTTTTCTGGCCCTCACCATGTGGTCATTGTCTACATGCTGGAAACCCCTGGGCTGCAGCTGAGGGCCAGGGACTACTTGGCTTGTTCCCAGTGTTTCTGTAGCACCTGGCAGGGAGCCTGGAGGGAGAGAAAGAGGATAAAGAAGGGGGGAGGGAGGAGGGAAAGAAAGACAGGAGGGAAAAGCAGGCCTTTCCTCTAGTGGAGCAGAAGCTAGAAGGTCAGGGAGAGGCTGAGGCTGGCAGAGAAAGCAACAGAGGAATGTGAATCAGCTTAAAGGTCTACAAGATAGAGGACCTGAGGACATTCTGGCTGAGATTAGGAAGAAGCAGAGACCAGAATGAGATGCTGAGGGGGGAGAGTCCCTGGACTTCCCCAGAAAGGGCCAGCACTCCTGGACCCCTGGCTAAAAGATGGTGAGACAAGGCAAGGTTAGCTCCTGTTCCTGGGCTAGCTAGGGGGTCTGGGGAGTCACCCTCAATGCTCAGGACAGTCCTGTGAGGTGTGTCCGTCACCTTCAGTTTACACAGACAGAATAGAGGGGTGAGTGTGGCCCAGAGTTGCATGGGTGCGTCACTGGCAGTGGGGCCAGGCTGTCTAGTCACTCTAGAGGTGTGCTCTGGGGCACAGTCTACACAAGGACAGTGTGTGGTGGGTACCTGCTGGGATGGAGCCTTGGCAACAGCAGCAGAGGACGCCTTCTCTGCAGGGTGCCTGGGGATTCACAGGCAGCACTAGCCACGACTCTTTAAACTCTGTCCAGGCAGGCCTCCTGGCAGCCAGTACCTGTGGTTCAGAGTCATACGTGAGCGGAAATCCTTCTGGGTGTCTTCCAACCCATAAGAATTCTCCCAAGTGTCTGGCACATCGTCTTCCTTTAGTAAATATTTACTGAATGGATGAATGTGAATGTGTGAGGTTGTAATCACCTTCTTACCAGTTAGGGGAAGCGGTCATGCTAAATGGAAAGCTGTGGAAGGGAGAATCTGTGCTCCCCAAATCAAAAGGCTGCAGGAGCCTGAAAAACCAAGACCCCTCCCGTCCCCAGGGGCGTTATGACTCCGATGACAGGGAGGGGGCAGGAGACGTAATTCTTCACCTTGCAGAGCAGGTGACAGTTTGCTCTTGAGGTGCTGCTCTCCAGGGGACTGAATAGTCCTGTGTTGTCCTCAGTTGTCATGGTGATGAGACTGCCTGTGGAGGGGACCCTTCCCAACCTGGTCTGATGGAGCAGGTGTATCCTGAGTCTAGTCCTCAGTT